ATGAATACAAAGCCCAGTCGAATTGTAATCAAGACCGAACGTTTCGACACTCCAGTCTAGTGTCTTCATCAGGGGCCGGTGATCTAAAGTTGCAATAAAGTAGGAGGTGCGATCTAAAGTAGGAGGTGCGTTCAATCTCTTATCCCATACCTGTGTTGAAAGCGGCTTTCTGATTGTTTTAGAGCAGGTGAGCTTGTCGTCGAGCTCACCTGCTTTTCGCCGAACTCACCTGCTTTTCGCCGAACTCACCCGCGAAACTGCTCACATTGCAATAACAATAACAAATATGGCAGACAAGATTTAGGCATTTAGCCGATAAACCTAAACTTTTTCTAACCTACTGAGACTGAAGAAAAACGTAGACGTAGATAAAGAAGTATTTTCTTGCCCAGTGATTTTTTGGCGGGGAAAATTTTCACAAAACATCGACGAATATATCGCGAAGAGCTACAAAATTGTGTGTATGGCTCGGTGTATGGGATAAAAACTAAACATACCTGCAGATAAAAACCAAACATACTTGTATACCTCGCTTCTCTCGGTGAGTTCGGGAAACTTCCAGCCACCCGATGTGCGTCCAATCCCGGACTCACCAAACCTGCAAGTATGTTTGTAATAGGATATACCCAAGGGATGACGTCATCTGCCAATAAGATGCATGTATTCCTCTGGCAAATAGAAAACTCATCCCTATTCAAAGCATGATTACTCATATTTATATGCCACGCTTCTAGGCATCGTCCTTGGCCATAGTGATTGTTTGTGATAATTACTTCAGAATTTTTCCGCTCAATATTGTGTTCGGTGTCACACACATGTTATGCTAAAGCTGATTTCCCCTTGTTCAAAGTTGAAACAGCCGTTGATGTTCTTTTAGCCGTGTACCAAACTAGCGTTTAGACTGACCGAAATACTCTTTCTCGCAGTCAGCGCATGGTATAGAATATACAACATGAGTTTTCTGATTTGTTTTAACATGATCTTTCGGCTTTGCGAAGATATGGCCTAAAGTCAAGTAGAGTTTTATATTGTTTCGAACTAAAACTAAACTAACCTTGTTTCAAACTAGAAGTCTAGAACTAAACTAAAACTAAAAACAGATTGGTGGTTTAAACTAAAACAATAACTCAAATCACCATGCTAAAACAACATTAGTCCTTTAGTCCCACAATTTTCGTATTAATACGTTTGATAGTTTTATTAAATTTGTCGTGCTGACAGACAAACCCACTGTCGCTATCTACACTGACAGCAAACGTAATAGATTTTTAATTATTACCTCCGCCAGGACATATGTAGATTATATGAAACTGTCTGGAAAGATAAATTATATATCTTTATCAGTTGTATGTCTTTGCATATACTGAAACGCCTATGTCAAAGTAATGAGGAGGGTGATTCACAATTCACGATTCTGGTGTATGCTTCCTCATCATTCTGCCACGTCATTAACATCTATCAGATCAACGACATCTATTAAAAGTTGTTTTCGATGTTCTATGTTTATGTTTTTATCTTTAAAATAGGGAATCGGTGGAACGGGAACTAGGGGCAAATCGGGGGGTCGGAAATTGGGGGAACCGAGAATTAAGGTAAAATGTTGGTGGAGCAAACAGGTAGTGGTGCAAACAAGGGTGTGGGAAACCAGGCCGTGGGTAAACGAGGAGAGGAACAGACAGTGAGTGAGGGAAAACAGGGAGTTCGAGAAGTGAGGAATTAGGGAGTGGGGCGGGGGCGTGACTGGGAGAACCACAGAACCGCAAAGAATGGGTAATGGCAGGGCCGGGCGATGGGAAATGTAGGAACAGACTTATCAAAGGAACTGGGGGAAGAATTAGGGGTAACAAAAAATGGTGAGCTGGGAGGGATAAGAATAAGAAATAAGTGAAAATACAAAAGAACTAGTTTCATATTAATCTGACACTGCAATCGAGCAACGAAAAATTCGTTGGCTCGAGCGGGATTTGAACTCGCATCTTCGGGTATCTAGACCGCCGCTCTACCTATTGAGCTATCGAGTCAACAGGGATTGGTAGCGAGTCTTATCCAATTTAAGTGCACGAATTTTTCGTTGCTCGATTGCAGTGTCAGATTAATATGAAACTAGTTTTCCTATCTCTGAGGATGGTTCTGAAATAGAATTGAAACACTGCGCGTCCTCCAAGACAAGCGTTAAGTCGTCACGAAAATATTTCGTGCACTTAAATTGGATAAGACTCGCTACCAATCCCTGTTGACTCGATAGCTCAATAGGTAGATCGGCGGTCTAGATACCCGAAGATGCGAGTTCAAATCCCGCTCGAGCCAACGAATTTTTCGTTGCTCGATTGCAGTGTCAGATTAATATGAAACTAGTTTTCCTATCTCTGAGGATGGTTCTGAAATACAAAAGAACCTTTTTGGTGTTCTACTTTGTTGGCAAACATGTTATTATAGCAAATTAGCATTCATTATTTTTTAATAATTAATTAATTGACATATCTTAATTACTAGTATTTCAATCCCAAATACTATTTGCTTCTTTATTATAATATTTTTATAGTCATAAGATGTTTAAGAGAATTATGTATGTAACAGCGTATGAATAAAAAGTAGTTATTAAAGTTCATTAATTGGCAAAGAAAGTTTTGCTTATTTGTCAAAGAAGTTAGTAATTTTACGATTTAATTAGTATAGGTATACTAATTAAATCGCATGTGACCGAGTAAAATTAAGGTTTAATTTCAAGTGTGCTTTCAAGGTTTCACAAATTGTGAAACTTTGAAAACACAAGTGAAATTAAAACTTAATTTTACGAGGAACCATGCGATTACTTGTTAAAGTGCTCCTGACACAAAAATGTTTTTCAGTCTATTGAAAGTACTCATTTAGTATAGTGTTCTAGCGAAAGAATTTTTCGATTTCATCAAAACGAAAAAATTTTAGAACCGTTTGAATCCAAATATTTTTGGCTAATGGCCGTCGGCGACAGAAGTCTGGCACTAGCAGTTATTCTGACGTCACGCAAGTGAGTTGAATCTTGATGCCTGTTAATTTATCTGTTTTAATCAGCTCGAAGGTTTTGATCGCAGAATTGTTTAACTATTTATATTCTAAGTTCTATAAAGTATCATGCCAACAGAATCGACAGAATTAGTCCGATGATTCCGGAGCGAATTTTATACCTGATTAATATGTTGTATTGGAAGATGCTGATCTGTAGCATCTCGTCAGGTCTCTAACCAAATCTGCGACGCGAACGTGACGAAAAACTGCCGCTATTATCACAGTTTCACTTCACGGATAAAAACTGTTGTTGGTAAACAAAGTCAGGGACACGAGAAAAACAAAGTAAAACTAGTCTCCCATTTATATTAGCGATTGTTTCTTAGTCGCGCCATGTCTCAGATTTGGCGCATCTTTAATTTAATAAACTTCCTACTAACGTAGACGTTCTATGACTTTGCAAGGTTCATATCTCCGGTTCGGTGCATGCTATGAAGACAAAATTACTACCATTCGATACAGAGAAACAAAATCTCCTTATTTCTAATGATAGTTTTAATAGTCAAATATAGTTTTAGTCAAATTGTAGTCAAATAGCTATTTATGACCTTTGGTCACCTTTGAGAGGTCAAGCGGTGTCATAATATTACTCAATTAGTCTCGAACAATGTAAAGTAGCCATTCATTTAGCCGACCATAACTTCGGCCCCTTTGGACATATCTTTTTCGTAATAGTCTTATTCGAACCGGAATCCAAAACACTATTTAGAGTGTTATTTTCAAGCTTGTGTCTTCAGATTTGCATCTTTTATTTCGGTATTACAAAATATTTATATTTTTAGCTGGCCGCAAAACCGAAATACAATTGCAAATTGAATCATCAAAACAAAGCAAATCATCGTCAGTCTGAATTAGCTTCAGATAGTTAGGCTTGCTGAGCCCCAGCAACGAAAAAAATTGCCTCCCGTAATCCTCTGTTCTACAATGATCCGAGCATATAGTCGAAGTCTTTGACGGCACAAACAAACGCTTTGCGCGTACAAAATCAACCCATACTTTTCTTCGTCTTTTAGCTTCAGCGTGTTCGTCATTGAAGTCTTTTAAACATGCTTTATTGGTACAGTTAGCTGCAACACAGTAAAAAGGCATATCTTTTTCGATCACAAATCTTATCTACCTATATATCCGCCGAGAGTTGATAGTGCTAGTATAGTCGAATAATAGAATATACGCAGACTCACTTGCGTGACGTAACAAAAATCGCTCGTTCCAGTTTCCTTCGAACACGGACGCCTGACAACCAAAAGCCCAAATTTTGCGTGTACAAACGGCTCTAAAATTTTTTCGTTTTGATGAAATCGAAAAATTCTTTGGCTAGAACACTATACTAAATAAGTACTTTCAATAGACTGAAAAATTTTTTTGTGTCAGCGGCACTTTAATCATAGAGGGCAAAATTTATTCATAAGTAAATTGTGAACTTCTCAAGTTCTTGAACCTCGCATGTCTCCACGTCTTCGCCGACGTTCCGTATTGCCGATGTTCCTTAAGAAAGTTGGCATAGGAGTTTTAACGGTATTTTATCGAATTTAAGCTATTTACGTTTTGGTAAGGCCAATTACACAAGTTAACAGGAACATGATTCCACGAACGGCAAACGTTTGTGTTATTTTTGTGGGCTATAGCAAAACTTGTTTACTATTTTTTCTATCACACCTGCAAGAGCAAATATTATTTCGACTTGCATGTACCACTACAATTTATATTTTGAAGATAAAGCATTAAAAATACTTTTCCGGTTGTTTTGATTGAGAAACGTATCAAAATTAGAAATTTTGAATGTAATCATAACCAAGTGCGTGTTACGTTACATCTTCTCTTAATTTGCGTGCCTCATTTTAAGCGTTTTCTTAAAAATGGCACATTTAACGATTTAGGTACAGGACCCGATTTGACAAGCATGTTATTTTTTCACGCAATTAATTTAGCGCAACCAAGATCTCCGCGTTTTAATCATGGAGGATGATTATGTAAAGGACGAAGTGATTTACGATGGGTCAATATCGCTCCCGAAAAAGGCTAATAAATCACAATCCTCTTCAAAAGCTTATCCATTGAATCTTAAAGGAAAGTACATAACTCTCAACCTGATAATTAAAATCTATTGCGACCCTGATTATTTAATACCAGATTGCGCAAAATACTGTGTGCCACGTAATGACAGCAAAGGTCACTTTGCATGTGACTATGAACATGGGAGAAAAGTATGCCTCCCTGGTTGGTTTGGTGTCGATACAGATTGCACAAAATATTGCCTGTCTCAAAATAATGAACAAAGTCATTACAACTGCTCAGAAACAGGAGAAAAACTCTGTTTAAACAATTGGTATGGTGATAATTGTACAGTTTATTGCGACGAGCTCAGCAATCAGACCTTTTATTGTAACAAGACAACCGGACGAAAGATCTGTCAGCCAAACTGGTTCGGAATAAACTGTTCAACTTACTGCAAAACTCACAATGATTCTACTGGATATTTTCATTGTAATATCACATCTGGTTTGAAGGTCTGCAATCCTCACTGGTATGGATCCAATTGCACAAAATATTGTAGAGAACAAAATGAAACGAACGGACATTATTTTTGCCAAAAGCCACACGGCTTTAAGATCTGTCATCCAGGATGGTATGGAATTTTCTGCACAGTATCTTGTAAACAGGAAAATGATTCGAATGCATATTATTCCTGTAACAAAACATCTGGGTTAAAAGTTTGTTACCAACATTGGTATGGAGCAAACTGTAATGTATATTGCAAAGAACAAAGTCATTCTAGTGGTCATTATTTATGTAATAATGTAACAGGAGGGAAGATCTGTCAAAAATATTGGTATGGACTAAATTGTGATGTATATTGCAAAGAACAAAGTAATTCTAATGGACATTATTTTTGTAATAATGTAACAGGAAGGAAGATTTGTCATCAATGTTGGTATGGGCCAAACTGTGATGTATACTGCAAAGAGCAATTCAGTGGTCATTATTTGTGCAATAATGTAACAGGAGGGAAGATCTGTCAACGATATTGGTATGGACCAAACTGCGATGTATATTGCAAAGAGCAAAGCAGTGGACATTATTTATGTAATAATGTAACAGGAGGGAAGATCTGTCAACGATATTGGTATGGACCAAACTGCGATGTATATTGCAAAGAGCAAAGCAGTGGACATTATTTATGTAATAATGTAACAGGTGGAAAGATCTGTCACCAATATTGGTATGGACCAAACTGCGATGATTATTGCAAAGAACAAAGCAGTGGACATTATTTATGTAATACTGTAACAGGAGGGAAGATCTGTCAACAACATTGGTATGGACCAAACTGTGATGTATACTGCAAAGAGCAAAGTAGTGGACATTATTCGTGTAATAATGAAACAGGTGGAAAGATGTGTCAACAACATCGGTATGGACCAAATTGTGGTGTATATTGCAAAGAACAAAGTAATTCTAATGGACATTATTTATGTAGTAATGTAACAGGAGGGAAGATTTGTCATCAATATTGGTATGGGCCAAACTGTGATGTATACTGCAAAGAGCAATTCAGTGGTCATTATTTATGTAATAATGTAACAGGAGGGAAGATCTGTCAACAATATTGGTATGGAATAAAATGTGATGTATATTGCAAAGAACAAAGCAATTCTAGTGGAAACTATTTATGTAATAATGTAACAGGTGGAAAGATCTGTCACCAATATTGGTATGGACCAAACTGCGATGAATATTGCAAAGAACAAAGTAATTCCAGTGGTCATTATTTATGTAATAACGTCACAGGAGGGAAGATCTGTCAACGATATTGGCATGGACCAAACTGCGATGAATATTGCAAAGAACAAAGTAATTCCAGTGGTCATTATTTATGTAATAATGTAACAGGAGGGAAGATATGTCATCAATATTGGTATGGAATAAACTGTTATGTATATTGCAAAGAACAAAGCAATTCTAGTGGAAATTATTTATGTAACAATGTAACAGGAAGGAAGATCTGTCAACAGGATTGGTATGGACCAAATTGTGTTGCATATTGCAAAGAACAAAGTAATTCTAGTGGGCATTATTTATGTAATAATGTAACAGGTGAAACGATCTGTCAACAATGTTGGCATGGACCAAACTGTGATGTATATTGCAAAGAACATAGCAGTGGACATTATTTTTGCAATAATGTAACAGGTGGAAAGATCTGTCACCAATATTGGTATGGACCAAACTGCGATGATTATTGCAAAGAACAAAGCAGTGGACATTATTTATGTAATAATGTAACTGGCAGGAAGATCTGTCATCAATATTGGTATGGACCAAACTGTGATGCATACTGCAAAGAACAAAGCAATTCGAGTGGAAAATATTTATGTAATAATGTAACAGGAGGAAAGATCTGTCAACAATATTGGTATGGACCAAATTGTGATGTATATTGCAAAAAACAAAGTAATTCTAGTGGACATTATTCTTGTTACAATAATGGTTCAAAAGTGTGTCGACCAAATTGGTTTGGAAAGAATTGCAGTAATTTTTGTAAGGAGGAAAACACTGGACATTATGATTGTAACAAAACAACAGGTTTTAAGATTTGTCACAAAAACTGGTATGGATCAAACTGTGATATATATTGTAATGATGTTGGGAGAAATTATATTTGCAATATAAGCACAGGGGAAAAGACTTGTTGGTCACATTGGTATGGGAATAACTGTTCAAAGTATTGTAACGAGAAAGATGATGGCATGGGACATTATTTGTGCAGTACAACAACTGGCTCAAAGATGTGTCTAATGCATTGGTATGGAATAAATTGCACAAATTATTGTAAGAAGAAGAATAATACAAATGGACATTATTCTTGCCAAAAGCCAGACGGATTGAGAATTTGTCATCCCGGATGGTATGGACTTAACTGTACAACGTATTGCAAAGCGAAAAATGATGGCATGGGACATTATTTATGCCATAACACTACCGGCTTAAAGATTTGTAGAGAACATTGGTACGGAGTCAATTGCACAAAATATTGTAGAAAGCAGAATGATACGAATGGACATTATTTTTGCCATAAGCCTAACGGGTTGAAGCTTTGTTATCCAGGATGGTATGGAATTAACTGCACAGTATATTGCAAAGAACAAAGTGGTGCTAATGGGCATTATTCCTGCAATAAAAGAACTGGTGTTAGGGTATGTTACCGATATTGGTATGGATATGACTGCACGGTCTATTGCAAGGAAGAATCTAACGTTACCGACACTTATTTTTGTAATAAAAAAACTGGTATGAAAATCTGTCATTCTAACTGGTTTGGACCAAGCTGCACGACATTCTGCAAAAATACTGATGACGATTCAGGTCATTATTTCTGCAACGAAACATCTGGTTCGAAGATTTGCCGTGCACGTTGGTATGGAAATAATTGTGATAAACACTGCAAGGAGGATATTTTTCAAAACTCATGCAAAAATATCGAAGGTATATACAGTTCTAGTTTATTTTCGATAAATTCTCTATTAGGTCACTGTGGACTTTTTTATTCCATGCATGTTTGAATGGATGTGGGCTTATTGGAGAGAGGAAAATTTAGTGGAGAGGGGGGTTTAATAGACAGTAAGGGCTGGTTGAGAAAGGTGGTTAATTGATTTAGACAAGACGGTTCTACATCATCAAGTATATATTATATGAGAATCGCCTAAGACGGTAAACTCCGTATTCAAATTACATGGTACACACGTAAAAATCTCACATGTATATAGGAAGCATGTCAACAAGTTGTAGCAAAGTTGTCATTTTATCAAGTTGCCTCAAGGTTGTGATTCACAACTTGTTGGATTGCATGCGGGATGATAACAACTTGTAACATGGAACAACTTGTAACACGGCTATTGAGTCAACAACCTTGTAGCATGTTGTGAACTGCATGGATTGCACTCAGCGAATTAAGTTGTGTATCATACATAAATTATACAATGGGCTAATTATTTGCATTTAGTTAACTCTGCCTGGCAAAACAGGACAAATGTTTGCTAATTTCTCTTCCAATTTTATCAAAATTTAACTAAAATCATAAAATGTAATCAATGTGTCTTTGGGCAATGACCATTAGTCCTTCAAATGGACTAATTTTTGTGTTAATACATTTGATATTTTGTAAGTTATTGTTACTTACATTTGTTATTTTATACATTCACACACACATTGATACAAACGCGGTTAAAAACGTGATCTCCTGGCGGAGTTAACTGGCCGTTGACAACTTGTCAACAAGCTGGGAACAAGCAGTGCGTTCACATCCTGAAAACAAGTTGTTGAAACATTGCTACACTTTTGCTGCTAACAAGTTATGTGTTTTACGTGTGTACTGTGTATTGTAAACATTTGATGTTTTTTATCATTTCAACGTCACGTATTATTAGTTCAATTGCCATTATTGTGAATATGGCTTTCCGACATCATCGACCAAAAACTTGTCCATTCGTCTTGTGCAATTTTGATACTTTTCAGAAAATCAACTTTGGATGTTTGTGTGAAGTGTAGCCTATATCTTGTGTCTTATATAAATATAGCAAATTATTATCGTATCGTCTTTTAAAGAAACAAGTGGTGACGATTCCAGCGGAGTAAAGATCAATTCCATGTGGTTTATAATTGGAGGTGCAGTTATCGTGTTATTGCTTATTTCCAGTGTCATTTTCGTGATCAGGTCATTATACACATAATATCTTCCTTGAATATTTGAAGCTATCTTTAATAATTCATGAAAAAAACACTAATTGGAAATCACAAATCATGGCTGTGAGGGAGCTTGTATACCCGATACAAAAAGTCATGCTCATTAGATACATTTAAACTTTATTTCCCTCACCAAATATCTAGGGGTGCACTTATTACTCAAAATCTAATTCTCCAAAGTCCGCGGAATCTCTCTGATATATAATCCCAGGAATTGCATCAAAATCTCAAAAAATCGACCAAAACATCTTCCAAAATCCACGAGAAATTTTGCCAAAAAACCCAGGTTATTGCAGGGATTTTGGAATCCCAAAATATACCCCTGGGCAAGTATCATCAGATATGTCTTTAAGGTCATTGAAAAATCTCATGACAATATTGTATATACTGTATATTACATATCATATATTACATGCATGCAGACACGATATTTTGATCAAGTACAAAACATATTTTCACTTCATAAAGGTCCGTAGGTTTAAAGCTTTATATTATTTTATTTTAGACTCCGGAAGAATTCTACAGAGAAAACGCGTCGTATTATCAGCCGACAAAATTCGCGCAATCCTTTAGCAATGGAAAACTTTGGGATTTGTTCCGAGTAAGTGTGGTTTTTGGTAGTATGCCGTTGTATCTCCTTATCTAAACATGCAAATATGCATACATGCAGGGGTTCTGTGTACAGAGTATTGTATAGAATTTGTTTCCTGTTTTTTTAGAAGCACGGACAAACCTTGCGATGCCAACGGAAAAAGTATTAAAAGTATCCAAGACGATGAAAAGGTTGTTTTCGAAAATCCTTTGTATGAAGAGTTCAAAACGTCCCAAATGTGAAGTTCGAACAATATTTTGGCAGGAAGTATACTCTTGTTGTTTACTTTTCGTGGGCGCGCTCTTTAATTCTATTTGTTGGAGACGACTTACCTGAACTTGTATTTTTTAAACAGAGGGCAAATTCCACCAATTAGTTTCCCTTTAATTATTACTTTTTTCGGGCAAAGACGCCCAAACTATGATTCAGAGCACAACGTAGTTCGGTTTACTGTGTTATTGTTGACTCGGTAATATGATATATATTTATCGCTTTCAAGCCGATGTCATAAATGTCCCTCGTTCGCTGCGCTCATTCGTGACATTTATGATATCGTCCCACCCTCCATATGATAAGACATGCATTTTACTGTACAATTACGTCCGCGTGCATGCAGTGTCAGATACTGTTTTGAGTTTTCGATTAATATTTGGCGTTCTACTTTCACAAGGTGGCTGGGGTTTTTCATGAATAATGGGCAAATATGTTATAAGCTATATTTATAGTTTGTGAACAATGTAATGATTCCTTTATCATTGTCGACTTGTAACTTATTGTTACGAAAATAATTTGTGTTTTTAATTTTGCATGTGCATGAAAAAGAATAGACGAAGACCCGACACGGTCTGGTAATTTACAGAACTTTTTAAAGTTTATTACGACATTATCGACATAGAATTAGAGGTAAACTGCATGCATGACGAACAGTTACTTATACTGTCCTTTAATTTTTGAATTTCAATATCAACATGCCAAAAGGTATTTGCGGCTAAAGTAAATAAATATAATTTTCTGTTTGAAATTCAGATTAATTTTATCCCATTTAAGCGATTCACATGAGGACGAGCCAATGCAGCCAGGTTAGGTGAGATCTCACATTGCGCTGGGTGGGATCTCAAACAAGTGCGATAACATTTTCCATATGAAGGCTTTATTCCACTTGACTGGAAATACAGTCATGCATATGAACACAGAAATAACTCATCCCACTCAGGTGAGCTTCCCGGCAAACCTGACTCATATGAACAGGACAGCTGCATGCGGATTGAGAGAGATGGATTTAGTTAAAACAAAGAGTATAATAAACAAAAAATGTAAATCGCAATATAGAGAGAGAGTATATTACACGGCGGCGCGAAAATATGACTTTTATCTTCGAGTGGTGAAAACAATATTTTACGAACGAGCGCAGCGAGTAAAATATTGAATTGTAATGTAAAATGTTCTGTTTATTATATATAGTCCCAAGCAAAAAATTCGGAAATTTCACGCTCAAAAGCAAATTGGAAAAAGTCATGTGATCGATATCTTCATTAGTGAGGATATGGAAAATATCTTACTGCATGTGTATTTTTCAGTATCTCACTCTCTTCTATAATATATATAGCCTAATAAATTTATATATTTTGTATACAAAAATATACTTGAAATAAGTATGGAATAAGGTGAGAATTTAAAATATACTGTCAATGTCTGCTTAATTGGCCGCCGAAACCTCGAAGTTCTGGTTGTACTTTTCAGGTCGTTGTATTATCTCTCTCAATCCGCAGCTGTCTTGCATGTTATTTGTTATTTTCGCTACCTACACTACATGGCACAGACCGTTCGAAAAGCTCATCTACGTACACGATGAAATCAGTCTTATACGATTCGGCTTATATTCTCGCATATGTACAGGTATACTCCCATGGCCAGAAGTTATATACAGAAATGGTAATATAATTTACTGTTGACTGCAGCCGCACTAAATTATATTACGCGATAATCTAAGGAATAAGGAAAAAGGAGGTCGTTTGTAACCGAAGTTTTAAGTGTAATATTGGTTAAGTTACTACCCATCTTGCATTTTAGTTTATTCCCATATAGTTCAGTATTTTATATTGAATAATATGGCAAAAACTGATTAATATGAGCAGTGAGTAACTGTAATAATGCCAGTATTCGCTACATATACTACTGGATATACTAATTGGTTTATGCAAGTTAAACCAACCTCTTCTATTTTCAGATCATGCGAATTATATATAGTCTGCTGTTAATTTATTGTTGAAACCGTATTTCAACGCGATATGTAAATTAGAATCAGCATTGGAAGTATAGAATAAAGCATGTCCGTCCGTGATTTCTGAACGTGTGAATAAATTCGTGCATGTATAAAGACGTTGAAGGATTTTGTCGATGCAAACGTTCGAGTGTAATTTGTATACATTTGTATATAGTCCTATAACCAGGAGCATGCAGCTGTGAAAAATGCAACTACTTATGCCCCCTGACATGAATTTAACCTGCGGCCCTGCGATTCCGCGGTGCAGCGCTCTAACCAACTGCTAAGGTGATGCCATGGTAAGCAAATGTTTTTATGCGTAAATATCGGGATTTTGGGCATCACGATTCCTGCGCATGCCTATGTTCGCATTTTTTTTGCAGCTACTCCTGGTTAGGTCTGAATTGTTAATTAGTATTTTTGCACAAGTGAACATAACAAATCCTACACGTTGATTGGTCAAATTTGACGTAATAAGTTGTTATATTCACCTACAGGTGGATATAACAAAAGAGAAATTTTCAAAATGGCGGCTACCCGTTTTGTGGAAATTTACTGACAAAGAAATAAGCGAAATTAAAATAAATCCAGTCTCAAAAAACACAAAAGCTTGTGTAAAAATACTAAAACAATTATTCGCCTCAGGCTCGGTGATTATCGGGGAATATTCACCTCGACTTCGTCTCGGCGAATATTCCCCGATAATCACCTCGCCGATCAGCGAATAATTGTTTAATAATTTACACTCGAAAATTTCATGCATGTATAAAATCCTTCAATATTAGTTCAATCGAGTGAGATGCCCCAAACCCCTGATATATTTATGTATAAAGATGTCCGATAAATAGAAACAATGGCGTCAGCAGTATTTTCGCGCACCAGAGCGACCTTTCCGCAATTCCGTGTGCATGGGTTTTAAACATGGGTTTCCGTCGATATGCATGCATGCAGTGTTTAATCAATGGCCACAGCTGTTTCCTACGCAATTTATTGAAGTTAGTAACTGTGGAAATCTATTTATGTTTTGGTCTCTCAGACTCTCAGGTTTGGGTCTGACCCAGATATATTGCTTAATATTAGCGAATTAAGCTCTTGTCCACACCGTTACAAGAGGGTCCTGAAAGGGAAACGTTTCAGATCCCATTTCCCAGGCCAAATTTTTTCTATCAAAAATTACTCTGTATATATAGCTGTTATTTCACTCTGAAATGACCAACTGCGACAGTGCGACTCTCCTATGGGTTTTCGCATTCCCACTTTTGTGTTTTTTATTTCTGTCCCAATAACATATTCCATTTTCCTAGTCCAAAAATAGACAAATCTTACAAAGATGCGCTTAAGCGCAGCAACTACGATGTACCTCTGCAATACTCGGCCTGTGATAATTCCTCCAGTTTGCCATCTACCAACCGAAGACGTCGTAGAAACATCATCTGGTTTAATCCACCCTTCAGCAAAACATCGGTCGAAATTTCCTACAGTTGACCGATTGTTACATGATAGCAATTATCATGTATATTTTATAACATTTTATATTATATATTAATACATTTTACTATATATATTATATATATCATAGTTTAGTTATATTATATTTACTCTAAAGAATTGACCTATGGGAAATTGTTTTACGCATGGGAAGTTCTTTTAGCTTGGTCATGCATGAGCATGCAAATATTTTAGTTTATTACGTTACCACAAGTGCGTAATGGACGGGAACGGTTACCGCAAGAAGATTGTAAGAATCTTCCCACGAAATGACACTGCAAGTTTAAAAGTTCCTCTCTGAACAGTATATAAGGGAGGGCACAACTCTAGTACATTCATTCATAGGCCTCCGTGCCTTACATGATTCATTCATAGGCCTCCGTGCCTTACATGATTCATAGTAGGCCTCCGCGCCTTACATTATTCATTCAATAGGCCTCAGCGCCTCAGTTACATTATTCATAGGCCTCAGCGCCTTACGTGAATATCATTTTGGAAAAGCTATTATAAAGAAGATTGTTAAGGAAAGATTGTTACAAGTTATATACGAAAGAGTATTGAAGTTAAAAAGCGACGTTACGTGAAGAAGACGAAAGAGTTGTGCTCAGTCAGACAGAAAAGAGATAAGTTGAACTGATATAGTTTTAATTATATAGTAATTGGATATAATATTATAAAGACGCTACTTATAGCAAGTTAAAGAAATAAATAGTTATATAAACGTAACTGACTCACACTGATTCTTTGTTGCGAGAGAAATCGAACCAAAACGCGGGAAATATTAATATTAAGGACCACGCTCGTAACACCAATAAACATTTCCCTTCTACCAGCCCGCTCCATAAGGTCTTCAACCGCAACACAGTCAAAGTTAGCTACTCCTGCATGGAGAATATCAAAACCCGGCATAATATCCCGACATAACCATCGCCTGTTAAAGAAAAACCCGATACAAAACCCTGTCCCATGTAACTGCTAAAAACCAGATGAATGCCCACTAGACGGAAAGTGCAAAGTAGACAACATTGTCTATAAAGCCACGGTGACAACAACTGATGACAGAAACACAAAAGAGTATATTGGAATGACGGCCAATCCATTCAAAGAAAGATACGCCAACCACAAAACGTCATTCAACCTCTACAACCACTCGTCTGACACAAAGCTTTCGAAGTACGTTTGGAGTCTGAAGCAAAGTAGAAGAAATTACAGCATCAAGTGGTCCATCTTGAAACGAGCTGCTGCGTACACGCCTGGTGGAAAGCGATGTGGCCTCTGCCTGGAAGAGAAATTATGTATCCTGAAAGCGAAAGGAAACAATTCACTGAACACGCGATCAGAGTTTTATGCAAAGTGCTGTCACAAGGAAAAATTTAGCGCGTGCAAATTCAAACCGGTGACGATAGACAAACCTCCGCGTCAGCGAGCGACCGTTGATATTGACGAATCAAACACTAACTGAATTAATTGCCTGAAGATCGTCTTGAATAAGGCGTGAAACTTGATCAGTAGCGCGCAATAATTAATTTTAAGATATAAATATATCTTGCTCTACTATAATAGTAGTGTTGAGCACTTTATTATCTACTACAACAAAACAAGTTATATATATATATCCTTATATGATAAACAGTACCCGTATATGATAACCTATATATATATATATATATATATATATATATATATATATATATATATATATATATATATATATATATATATATATATATATATATATATATATATATATATATATATATATATATATATATATATATATATATATATATATATGAATATATATATATATATATATATATATATATATATATATATATATATAGATATATATGTAA